ACTAGTACGTACTATTAGGTCGTGCATACACTATATATATATATATATATATATATATATCCAGTCTCATGCCATTTGGCACACTTACCTCACTGGCCGTGAAGAACATCCGCACCTCTTCGACATTTCGCCAGTCCACTTCCTTATCCGGGTTGCGCAGATGTTGATTGAGGACACCACAGGAATCGCGCAGCACAAACTGACAGCTGTGGATAGAATTCATAAGAATTTAACTACATACACAAGTATATAGACTTAACTACTTACACTTGTATATAGACTTAACTACATAAACTTGTATTTAGACTTAGCTACATGCACTTGTATATAGACAACTATTTACACTTGTAAATAGACTTAACTACATACACTTGTATTTAGACTTAACTACATATAGTTGTATACAGGCTTAACTACTTACACTTGTAAATAGACTTAACTACATACACTTGTATTTAGACTTAACTACATATAGTTGTATATAGGCTTAACTACTTACACTTGTAAATAGAATTAACTACATACACTTGTATTCAGACTTAACTACATACACTTGTATTTAGACTTAACTACATACAATTGTATTTAGACTTAACTACATACACTTGCATTTAGACTTAATTAAATACACTTTTATTTAGACTTAACTACATACACTTGTATTTAGACTTAGCTACATACACTTGTATTTAGACTTAACTACATACACTTGTATTTAGACTTAACTACATACACTTGTATTTAGACTTAGCTACATACACTTGTATTTAGACTTAACTACATATACTTGTATATAGACTTAACTACATACACTTGTTTAGACTTAACTACATACACTTGTATATAGACTTAACTGACTACATACACTTGTATTAAGACTTAACTATATACACTTGTATTCAGACTTAACTACATACACTTGTATTTAGACTTAACTACATACAATTGTATTTAGACTTAACTACATACACTTGCATTTAGACTTAATTAAATACACTTTTATTTAGACTTAACTACATACACTTGTATTTAGACTTAAACTACATACACTTGTATTTAGACTTAGCTACATACACTTGTATTTAGACTTAACTACATACACTTGTATTTAGACTTAACTACATACACTTGTATTTAGACTTAGCTACATACACTTGTATTTAGACTTAACTACATACACTTGTATATAGACTTAACTACATACACTTGTTTAGACTTAACTACATACACTTGTATTTAGACTTAACTAACTACATACACTTGTATGAAGACTTAACTATATACACTTGTATTCAGACTTAACTACATACACTTGTATTTAGACTTAATTACATACACTTGTATTTAGACTTAACTAGATACACTTGTATTTAGACTTAACTACATATACTTGTATATAGACTTAACTACATACACTTGTTTAGACTTAACTAGATACACTTGTATTTAGACTTAGCTAACTACATACACTTGTATTAAGACTTAACTATATACACCTGTATTCAGACTTAACTAGATACACTTGTATTGGAATATGAAGAGTATGTGAGCTACCATGGCAAGGGAGTGTACGCGTACGTTCAGCCTGACTCACTAGAGTTGTTTGGGCTCATGCCCAGACATGCGTGCACAGATAAGAAGTAGACACTCAGGCGAGCTTAGGCTGAATGTGGACATACAAGCGACGTACGTTAACGCAACGGACTTATAACACCCGATGGCCACAATCTGTATGGCAGATGTACATGCACACACATACGATATAAATACAATACATAAGCCAACACACGCACATCCCCACATATGAATAGGTGAAACTGAAGCACACACATACGATATAGATAACAATACATGAGCCAACACACGCACACACCCACATATGAATATGCGAAACAGAAGCACACACATATTTCATACGTTCATACTCTGTGGTACTACATATACGTAAATGCGCTGAAACAACACAACACCCAACACGCACGCACACATACTTGGCCTGCATATCCACACATACATACTTGGCCTGCATGTACACACATACATACTTGGCCTGCATGTACACACACACATACTTGGCCTGCATGTACACACATACATACTTTGCCTGCATGTACACACATACATACTTGACCTGCATGTACACACATACATACTTGGCCTGCATGTCACACACACATACTTGGCCTGCATGTACACACATACATACTTGGCCTGCATGTACTGTCCCTTCTTGAACACTGCGTTTTTCTCGGAGTGTGTACTGTTCTGTTGCCTTCGTCCGTATCTACCCGCCCGCGCGTTCGGCACATCGCCGTACGAGAACCGGAGCAGGTGATTCAGCGACATCTGATTGGCCAAGCCCTTCCTGTTGGTCTGGTTGCCATGGTTACCGTCGAAAGTATCCAGAATGACATCATCACCATACTGTCCAAGGTCGTCATTGGATTCGTCGGTTAAACGGAAATGTGACCGCCGTTGATACTGTTCCTTATCTCGGTAAGACCCTCTGCGGATGAAAGTAGCAAGCACAGTTTAGTACCCGGTAATTTTAGTATGGTACATATGCAGAGCATATATGATGGTCCGGAATACAAGTATAAAGTAGAATGACAACTCAATATCGATATTTATATATATTTACGTAGATACATATATACATACATACATACATACACAAATAAATACATAAAAACATACATACATACATACATACATACATATACAAATACATACATACACACAAAAATACATAAATACACAGATAAATATATAAATACATACATACGTACATAGATGCATGTAAACATACATACATAAATACATACATACATAAATACATACAAAAATACATACAGACATGTAAACATACATTCATACATACATACATACATACGTAGACATACATAAATATATACATATATATGACTACCTATAAATATATATAGATATATAGATATATATATATAATATATACACATACATACATACATACATACATACATATATGTATGTACACACACACACACATATATATATATATATATATATATAACTGCGTACAGAGGTCGAAAGATTGAATATGCCATAGAAATGGACACGCGGACAGATCTGCGGACAGACACAGGAGGTTGCGCCTGTAACTATACATACTTACACACACTTGCACATAACCTCTCCCTGGCTATATATATATATATATATACATACATATTGATACAAGCACATACCCTCCTCCCCCTCCATGCCTGCCTTTACTCTGTTTCGTATGGCCGTTCGCATTGGCCTGTTGGCCTCGATGGCCTCCCCTACCACCACGTGCACCCTTCTCCTTCTTGTGGCTGTGGCTGTGGCTGGGGTTGTGGTGGCTGTTATGGCCTGTTGGTGGTTTGTGGGGCATGTCCTGAGAGTCTGACTGTTTGGCTGATGGTTTGTTATACCCAGCATGTCCCGTCACTTCACTGATCAGGTTGTGTGCGGCGGTCGTGGTCTCACAATCGATCGTATCCACATCGATGACATCTGTGGCATTATTATCATCCGTTGCTATGGCACTATCATCAGCCGTTGCTATGGCATTATTATCAGCCGTTGCTATGGCATTATTATCAGCCGTTGCTGTAGCACATCCCTGTCCATCCTTCCCTGACGACATGAACCTTGTTGCGCCTGAGAACTCTTTAGCGTTGGGGTTGAGCGGCCCTGTCAGACTCAGACGTTTCGCCTTACCCTCGCTCTCACTCTCACTTTCCTTCTCTCGCGTCATGCTTCCGCCATTCTGGGTCGTCTCCGCTTCACTAGAACGCCCCTCAGCTGATAGGGCAGCGCATCTCAATGCCTGTGTCTGGATCTCCGTCGGCCCAGTCGTCTCACCCTGTCCCCTATACACCTGGTGTGCCTGTGCCTGTGCCTGTGGCGAGGTGTGTGGCTGGTTGTTGCTGGGTGAGTCCTTCTCAGCGTCGGCGTGTGCTGCTTCGCTGTCTTTCACTTCAGGCGTGGGCACGGCTGTGCCTTCCGCGTCATGTGCGCGTACTCCGTTGCATTTCGCGTCACGTGCGTGTACCTTACGCCCCCCCACACACACCCACGCGCTCTGCTCAACAGCGCTGCTCTCCGCATGGCCAGTGGGTGACTTGTTCACTTGTCCACTCAGATCGCCTGTGACTTCGCCGTCCGGTGCCTTTTGTTGCGATGTAGTGACTGGGTCTGGCGACTGGTCTTTGTCGGCGTGAATGTGTTTATCTGTGCGGTCTGAAGGTGCTTGATAGGCGATGGCTGAGTCAGGGGAAGAGCTGGAGAGCCCCTTCACAGCAACAGTTGTAGCTGTACTATCGGCCAGCGGCACTCCCTGCTGGGTGGGAGTGTTCATTCCGGTCGTACAATCTGGAACGGATTGAAATTTGGGATACAAAAAAATAGGGCGGATTTGTATAGATTGATCAATTGTTGCCGAAAATTATGTTTCATATGTAACATAGATATGAACTCAGAAGCACGATTCTGAATATTTCAAATATTAATATTTAATAGGCTTCGTAAAGACACAGACATGTGAGAGAAAATAGGTTCACGTAACGAGAATTAAATATATATATATATGTATTTATATATATGCATTTGTTCTTCTCTATATATATATATATATACATACATGCAGGTATGTATTGCACATGTACAACACAGCCAGAAGCAGCAGACACAAAGACACAGAAAAAGAAACATATAACTATATATCTCGACATTCATACATACATCGCGACGTCAGCTGGAGCCCTGGGAAGAGCTCTCTTTTTTTTTAACGAATCATTACCATGAATTCAATTTATTTGTAGCTATGGTTTAATATTCGGTAAAGCAGTCTACTTCTTGGACTGTCCGAATGTATATATATATATATATATGAGAATGCATGCATATAAATACAGATACACAAAACACACACACACATACACACACACATATATA